TCGTCAATAAACAAGTACTTCTTACTCACATCTATTTGTATTTCAACCCCTTTACAGCTCTCCCCAAAGATCAAAGCACTAAGTAAATTGTTCACTACACATCTCGTCTCCGCATTCATCTCTCCAAACATGTCATAGACATTCCCCGGAACATCTTGAAGATACCAACTCAAGTAGATGATATAAAGTTGTTCTGTTATTCCAATCGTCTGCTGCAGGGCTATTTTCATCATTTCAATGAGATTACTTGGAATGTGTTCTCCGTACTTCACCGCCATTAAAACATCAAGTAACATACTCGGCCGTCGTTTCAAAACCGTTTCGTTCAATTCACTCCCCAACCCCAACACGGGCCAAAACGACCGAAGACACGCTATCGTCGTTTTAAGTTTCTGCTCAAGTTCACTGTTCTTCGTTTGTTTCACAAAGTAGTGTTCCTTCACCAGACACTCGTGATACTCATGAATATCTTCTCTGAGTTCTTTGACATTACTCGGGTCATACGTACTCAAATTCTCGGCAAAAATTTGAACTTCATCTTTGATAATATCATAGACCCGTCCTTTTACAATATGAACTAACTGTTTGTTGATTTTGTCAGAGTCTTGGTACTCGGAAATCAAGTTGCCGACTTGCTCCAACATGTCGTAATTCATTAAAGCAGCAACAATGGTCTGCGCACTTTCTCGTGGAAATGGAAATTCAGGAAGTCCCGATACAAGTTCTCGCACTTTCTTGTAACACTCTTTGTCGTCATTTTCAACAAGCTCGGGCCGGTACACTACAAGTCTTGGAATCACTCGGGTGCTCCTTTCAATCACTTCAAATGCATCTGACGTTATTAAGTATTGTCGGAACTTCAACTTGTTATTTTTTGTCATGAGCAACGTGACACTCAGCGGTATGAAGACGTTAAGTTTCTCACTCATCTTCCACACGGACTCCGGCGACTCAACAGCATATTGTTGTTCAATTGGGGAGTTAACGATCTCTCCTATTAACGGGTCTTTCTCCAGTTTTACTCGATCCACCAACTTCCCTGCCGTATCGTAGTAACAAATAAACACCATATTGTCATCATTGTTGCGATAGACAACAACAAACAGAAACATTTTGTTCCAAAAAGACAACATCGAATTGGTGAACATGATTTCCGCAGCTGGTATACCACATCGGCTCTGGTGAATTACGTTTTGGTTCTCGTCGTATTGCAGAAACAACAGAATGTTTGAATTCTTTCGCCAGTTGTGGAATATCAATAAACGAGTATCATTCTCACAACACACCGTGTACATTAGTACCGTCTCTTTCTCTAAAATGCCACTGATTTTAAAATCAAACTCAACACGGTCCTTATTGTGACTGATCACATACTGACAAAACGCTCCCGTGTCCCACCCCAATGTGATCATGTCTGTTGCTGATATATTCATGTGACACAACCGCGTTTGTGAAACATTCATTTCCTTATCGAATGGGGGTACCATCGTGTCCGATGTTTGAACGATCGAATTGGCACATTTACTTTGTGTGTCAAAATTGATTAAAAACGTCTCGACTTTGCGTTGGAAATCCTCGATGAACACGGTGACATATTGTAAATTCGACGACGAGTCTGTGCACAAACAAAAGAGTCTATTTTGTATATGTTCCACGTTTGATATAGTGATTGGGGTGAAGTCGGTATTCAATTGCGACGTTTCTTTATTACTCAAATCAAATAAGAACAACGCCTCTGTGTTTGTCATAAGAACAATAAGTGCGTCCCCCACTGGCGCCACTTGAAGAAAGTTACTTGTTGTTTGTTGTGTGAAATTGGTGTTTTCTTTCAGGCCCTGGACACACAGTTCCGATGGGGTCTTCATGTAATACACAAATTCAGAGTTGTCGAACAACCCGCAGTGCGCCCCCGATGACAAATTTGTGTCCACTTCTTTTTCCCATACAAACGTGGGTTTAAGGTCCATAGTGGTCTGATTTTTTTGTGATTTCAGTTTTTTTCTCTTTTATCACTTTGTGCCACAATCCTCAACTTTTCAATTTTAGTGACAATAAAATAATATCGATACCATTATACTATAATTTTTAATATTATAATTATAAATATTCTAATACAAAATACATCAAATATAATTTGGAATTAATTAAATTTATTGTATATGTTTTATAAATAATATAATATGAATAGTTTACTACTAATAAAAGTATTATAAAAATATGGTACATAGTGCAATGTGTTTTAAAAACGGTCAAAGTGAATTACTCGACTTTCTCAGTCTTTTTGCATGACTTTGCTTGGATCAAATAAAGAGGAATAAAGAGAACAAAACTCCCAATCATAGTTGCCACAGCAATGAAGAAAGGATAAGCTTCCTTAATAGTATAAGCACTTTCTCTTTGTGTACTTCTATATGTTCTTAAAGGGATAGTGACTTTCTTTTCCAAATACGTTTGCAGTGGTTTGTTATATTTAAAGAGTAAAGTGTAGACTCCGAACTTGAGTGGTGTCTTTATAATACCTTCATACTTCCCTTCCCCTTGAGATGTCAAATATACAGACGCCTCGGGGAATAACAATTTCATCTCAACTTGAAGGTCTTGAGCGTCGTAGCCAGTCACTTTGTTATTCATTTTCTCTTCGACTTCCAATTGGACTTTAAGAGTGTCGCCAATGACAATTTGGTTGTCATAGGAGACTGCAGGGACTCCATCAATTTTAGTCCAAGAAAACGACTTTAACACTAAGACTCCACTCTTCTGCGTGACCCACTCCAACACACTCTTAGTGAACTTTTTATTGTCCAACACACTCTTTTGGTTCTGTGTATGATACTCGTTGACAAACGCTTTATTCGAAAACAATTTGGTGGACCCCGAAACAACAACACGCGCATTGTTTCTCGCTTGTAACGCTCCAACCAATGTGATATTCTCTTTTTGAGCAAAGATGTGTGTTGAATGAAGAGATGTGGTCGAAGTTTCTGTTCCTTTAAGTAACGCGGAGGTCATCGGAGACTCCGGGAGGTATAACGCAACTCCGTCGAACAACACGTTATTCACTTTCGTTGGGAAGACTTTGGGATTCGACAAAACGTTATTTGAAAAGACCATTTCGTCCTCTCCATTCTTCGCAGTGTGAATCTCATCAACCACTTTACTTGTTGCAACATCCGATTCCATGTCAAAGGAGTATAACAAGTCGGTGTACTTCTCGGTGTAATTTCCAGACAGCGAAACAAGCAAATTACCACCAGCGTCAACATATTTAACAAATGATGAAATCGATGCACTTTTGAATGAAAATGTTGGGCTGAGCATTAACACCGTCGAGTACACCGGTTCGTCGTACTCAAACAACTCAACTAAATCTGTCTTCTCTTTGATTTCTATATCTTCTCCTAACTCTTTCACCATCGTGACAAATTCACTGTACTCAACTTTGTCATTGGCACTATCAAAGATGACTAAAACCTTCCCCTTAACAAGAAACAGAAGAGTGAGAACTACAAATATTGCCCGCATTCTGCCTTTTTCAAGTTCTTCACCTACTTTTTGGGTTGAAGGAGTATTTGGGATTGAAAATGTTATACACTTTTTTTGAAATTGGTATTAAAATGTTATATATAACATTTTCAATAAAAGAAAAAGTTATCAAAACATAAAAAAAATAAAAATAAAACTCATTGGAACGACAAAAACAAATAAAATTAAATGGGTGCCAAGAAAATTAAAAATAATTACAGATTAATTAATAATAAAATGTGGGTTTTATAAGTTAATATATGTTTTAATTTTTTTGAATATATTTATGCTTTTTATTTTATTAGAAATAAGATGCTGGAACCATGTAAATTTTTTATCGGTACACTTTTTTTCTTTCACTACATATGTTTTTTCGTTGTCACTTTCCACAAAACTAAAAAACGACTTTTTGATTTGTTTTCCCGGTTTTGCCAACTAATTTGCGAAAGAATAAAAAAAATCCATTTGAAATCAGAAATTCAAAATCAACACGTTTGAACTTTTTTTAAATAGCAGCGAATAAAAATAAATCTCCTTATTGCTTTGGTGCCGAAGCTATTTGAAGTTATAAAAGAACTATAATTTCATTAATTTCAATCAATTCATCGTTTTATGCTTCATTGAATTATCATTTTAGAAAAAACTTAACACTTTAAAAAGTAATTATTGGGTTCTAAAAGTCAAACCAGAAACAAAAATTTTTTTAAATCCGACAAAAAATAGAAAAAAAAACATTTTTGGTGTAATTTTTTCAACTCTCCCCAAAACTATATTAAAATATAATATTATATTATACATATAATTTTCCTTGGATGAAATGATTAAATTCCACACGCCAAAAGCGACATAAAAACTCAACAAAAAGTTACATCCCCATTTGCTGAGTTCCTTCAATTAATAATTTCAGCATTTCCCAAATTCCACAAAAATAAGAAAAACAAATGAATTGAATTAAGTTACTTTATTTGGGGTTCGACTACAACACATTTTACGATGTTCCTGACGTCTGGTCGGATACTATTTCTAATGAAATTGAGTGAACTTGGCACGACGGCGTTTTCAAACGCGACCTTTTCGTCTCCAATTTCTCGAATACACTTCTCTGGATTTTCTCTCTCGTATTCCAAGACTTCTTGCAGGCCCCAATACATCCCACTTAATTCACTCGTTGGTTCTATTTTTGTGTGTAAGAACTCTCCCGCGATTTGCAGTGTTTTTGGTTCAATTCTGATGTTATTTGTGAACGCCCCTCTGTATATAATACCATGAGTTGGTTCACTCATAAGATCGGAGATGACTTGGTAGATAGTATTTCCTATTTTAATGATGTCTTCGGAGTAATAGGTCTTATCTTCTACCGTCACGGAGATGAACTTCTCCATCTTCACTGTCATCTCCGACCGCTTCGTCTTTTTCATCTCGAAGACGACGCGCTGTCCTATTTGCGAACAAAGTTTGATCAAGTAATTGTAGATGACCGCAAACACATTCTTCCGATGATGACGCTCGTTGTAACTTTGTGACGCACCGCCAGCTTTACACGTCTCTTCTTCACGACGGACGATGTCGAGAAGTTGTCCGTGGGAGAGTTCGACAAGACCATACAGTTCCGTCACTTCGATGTATTGCAGCGCTTTCTCAGCTTTTTTGATTCTTCTTGCAATCGAAAACCCGACGCCGTTGGCGTTCAAAAGCCCGATGAGAAAAGCCATCCGCTGACATTCTTCAGACATCCCTTTTTGTTTCGCAAATGTGTTTAAGTCCCGTCGCCGTTTGACTTCATCGGAGACATGCGTTTGCGTCGCAATCAGTTTCTTAGGTGTAGTTGTGCTGAAAGGATGTGTAGGAACATTAGGAGGGACCACAGATTGTGAATTCAACGGAAAGTCGTCCCACTGAAGTACCCAAGGGTTGTTACATGAATTCATGGGAAAAGTCCTTTTCGAGTTTTTTCCTCGTTTTTTCAGTAGAAATTCATTCTGCAAAAAAAATACATTGGTGGTGTATTTTTGGAAAGATCGGATTCTCTTCGCCCGGTATGGCACACAAAAAACTACCCGCCCTTCGACTCTCACTATTTTTGTAAAATTCATTAGTCTTTCTTGGTATTCCTGTTGTTCTCTTTCATTGGTCAGTTTATCATGATTTTATTGGCTGTTTCGTAGACAGAAATTTGCTGGAACTAACCGGGAATTGGGTTATTGTATTCTTCTAATTTTTTATTTTCTAGTTCTGCGGCTGCTTCGTCGGAATGAATTATCGTTGAATTGTGGTTTATTTTACTATTTATATGGTATCGGTGTGAGGTAAAGAAAAGAAAACAGGGTGATTGGAGTTATAGACTGTTTTTAGCTCCTTAAATCAAAAACTAATTAATTTCGGTGTTTTCTGCGGGAAGTAACGGGATTGTTTTTAATGAAAAAAGCATTCGTTGTTATTGTCAAAACATTCGGGAAATTGCGGGAGATTAATAACTCACTGAAAAGCTTTTTTATAACACACTTAATAGAAAAAATTCTGTGATGTTTTTTATTTTTTTATTTTTTGTGTTTTTAGGGGTGTTTCGAACAATTGGTTTTAACGGTAAGACAATGGGGTGTTGCCAAACATAAAATAATTTCAACTAGTTTCTGGTGATTGTTGAAAAACTTCATCTGTGGAAGTTCCGATATAATGAAGTAAAAGAGTTGGCAATACTGTGTGAAATGAGAAACATTTCTGTAACTCCAAAACAAAACATTACAACACATAATAGGAATTTAAAAAGCCGAGTGAGTAAAACGACTTGAAATGTGCTTTTGGATAATTATATTTAATTAAACTGTTTTACTCATATTGTAAATAAGTAACGTTATTCCATCATATTTATTGAAATTGCGTTATTTGACTTTAAAATATACCTTTTCATGGCTATTCTTTACCATTTTTTGATAATTCCATTTAAAATTTTTGTTATGTCAAATTCGGAAACAAAAACAACACCCCATGTTTTAATAAAGTTGGTTTTGTGTGACTCATTCCTTTTTAATATGATGAAAATGGGTGAATTATTCTCTTTTTTTCAATTAGTAATGGTTACATATATTTTTTGGAAATGGAATGTAATCTTTTATTGATTTGTCATTTATAATTGGTTAAAGTATATAGTCTTTATTAACTCTTTTAGTGATTAAGTTTGTTTAAAGATGGGTCAATAGAATTCAATCATACTTAATGGAGTGATTGAATGTTGGGATGATGTTTAAAGAAGTCACTCAATCCAAATTAAAGAAGTTTGGTTAATAATAAAAACAACACTCGATAATTACTTGGGTTTATTAAACTTATCATAAGTAACAAAATATTCATTTTGTTGTTTTGCCATATAATAAGATAAAATTTTCAAATAGCAAGTAATTCAATTGTTCATGTTTCTCCGTTTAACTTTTTCTATTAACATAATGTTCTTATTTTAAAACAATTGTTATCAAATAGTAATGAGTTAATGAAATTTTAAATAAAAATAGAAATCCACGTCATCGATTCTATTTTTGAAATTATAAAGTCATTAATATTTTTACAATTATCGATAATAGAGTCTATTTATTAAGTTTTCAAGACTTATATGATTAAGAACAATATTGTAATTCAATTGCTATTTCTTTATGAACAAAATAAATTAAAAAATTAATTTAACATTGTCAATGACTAAATTCGATAAACATGTTTTTGAACAATTCAAAACGAGCCATTGAATTTGGGATGCATAATAAAAAATTAATATGAGACCGTGTCTCTATCATACGAATTGTGAATCTAAGTCTGATAACCAAATTAAGTAATAATAAGAATGAATAATAAAAAAGAATATTTTTCCATGACTATTATAATAACTATACTATTTATTCTATAATATATAACATAATATTATAATATAATGATATATTATAATATTATAATAGCAATCTCTAATTTTATTATTCATTTAATAAATTATTAATTAAGAATTTGTTAATTATTATACCCATTTAATTACTAATAACTTACTATTTCTGAGAGTAATTGAAATATAGTGGAAATGCCATTCCACTACAGCACTTAACATTTACGTCTTTTGTCTTTTTATACTCTTTAAATGACACATTCGTTATTGGGACTTTCGAAGGGTGGACTCCACTGATTTTCGAGTCGTTTGTGAAGTTTTTAAACATTGGCGTTTTTCTGAACTCATTGAGAAAAGCAGCTCCATAATCAGACACGTCTCCACTTGGGAAGATTTTCCCTTTACTCTGTATGCCTACGTTAATAGCTCCAATGACATATCGTAGCACCAGTTCTTCGACTAAATCGTCTCTTTGTTATTTTAATAACAATTTTAATAACGTTTTAATATTAAAAAAACAAACAATTAAGCGACTTTGACGCATTGAGAAGTTCTGTTGTAAAAATTTTGTCCGCCTTTGTAAGTGCAGCAGTCTTCTTGTACTCACCATTGAGAGAAACCCCCTTCTCGCTTACTATACAATCAATTTCAGACATTTCTCTGAAGAACACGGAAGTTCCTGCGAATATTTGTACGTTTGTGAGTAAATCGATTTCAGAGAGTGTGCAGTGTAAGAGTGACCTTTTTGGTTGAGCAGTGAATCCGATTTCTTTCAAATTGAGAGGAGCTGGGAATAGAGCGCCAGGGATGAATGAAAGAATGGTAATAACCCAATGACTGTTTTCCTCGGCTGAATTGATGTTATTGACACAGACTCTGGAATTGAGTAAAATCATTTTAATGAGGGAGACGATATTTTGGCCGCATGTGTTGACAAGGGAACATGGGTCTGGTAAGTGGTAATCCCCCATTTCAAATGAGTCATTCAACGCCTTATAAATAGCTTGTAACAGTTCCAAATTGATGAAAGTGTTCTGTGCGAAGTATAACTCGCAAAGTGGCTTGAACCGTTGGACCACCACGTGTAAATAAGGGCTTTGTGTTAATAAGCAGAGTGCGACGGTTTCCTCCGGCGACGGATTCTCAGGACGTGACAAAAACAGTGCAGAAGTTGATTTGAATATCCATGATACCCCATACATGGGCGTGTCGATCGTTCGCGATGGAACGGTAAAATAGTTGTACTCTCCGTTACATTCAGGTAAGCATATATAAGGTATTGAATTATAGTTGTAAGGTGAAGTACTCGGGAATGGAGGGTATACTGTAATGACATTGCGTTGTGTTGAGCACAGAAGGAGGTGTTTGACCACACACGATGTCATCTGTTTTTGATAGTATATTAATAGTTCTTTACTATACAATTTACTAGAACAAAATGCAATCACCAATCCATTTATTTGTCGCCTTCGATGATCTTCCTGCGCTGTTCGAGTAACATAGCCAACTTCCCCTCGTATTGTCTGGCAAGTTCTATGTCGAGAACTTTATACTTTAATTCGTAAGAGCGGACGTATTGATTGAGTTGATAGAGCAAATTTAAATTAGTCCTTTGCGAAGGCTCTTGTGTTTCCATTCCCTTCTGTTTTATACAATTTTGTTCCTTTTATTTTCTTAGTAGCTATTATTAATAATTATTAGAAAAATTATAGTATTCTTATAATTTAAACTGTATTGAATTAATATGGTTAAATATTAAAATAGAAAATCATAAAGAACTAAAAAAGAAGTGAATGCTAGTGTTTGCTTTGATTGTATTGGGTCTGGCAGATATAAGTGGGGAGGGGTACGCTACTTGTACAACCCCTTACGAATTAAAGACTTTCCCCTTCTCCGAGAAATTCATTGTCGACGAAAAACAGAAGTTCCCCGGCGACTGTGGGGAGGATAGTACTGACCAAAGTAGTGTCTGGTTGAAACTAGTCAATACTAATACAGAACCTATTGTCTATAATATCGTGACAGATGCCAGTTTGGCCTTTCACAATTCATGCGACAGTGAATGCATCGACACATTACCTTCAACTACAACCCTCACCGTCCCAGCTACCGCCACTTTTTTGTTGGTATTGAAATCAAATGAAACAGTCCAATTTGCTATCAACGCGCTTGAGAAAAGCGACGCAACGTCCCCGATTTTAATCCCACAATTCCCATTCAATGGGGTGTACCAAACTGCAAAAACAGGTACAAAATGCTTCCCAACCTCACTCGGCGCCGTGTTCTCGTTGCCGGATTTTGGGAAGTACTCGGCGCAGTTGAATACTTATGGGTCGTCTGTTAGTCTTGTCGCTTATTACGAAGACGAATCAAAATGTTATAAACCTCTTCAAACTCTTACAGACGGCGTCCTTTATTTGGATATGAAAAATGAATATTATTATATCACCAATAAATTCCAATTGATTTCAATTGAGGAAGAACCATACGAGTATGGAGTCATTGCTGTCAATTTTGAGTACAAGGAAGGACCAGTGTGCACAAACGCAGTTGACTTGGTGGCAACATCCGATGGCGCAAATGTCACTGGAATCATTTATTCGGGAACGTTAAAAGGAAAAGACGCATGCTCAACACAAGAAATGGCTTTTGAATATGTCAGATTGATTGGGGGCGACTGCAAAGTGACAATCACCACAGGTAAGAAAACACCAATTGAAGTGCATCTGTTCGACACGTGCGATATGAAGGAATGCGTGAAGAGCTACTCGACGGACGAAACAACGCTCACGTTCGACGTTGCGTTTGACGACCAAATATACGTCAAAATAGCAACATCGAGCGAAGAAAATCTGAGCTTTAATATCAACGCAGAGAATAACTCGAAACTGTCCACTGGAATGATCGTGTTCATCGTCATCTTTGTTATCATCGCGCTCCTTGTGATCGTGGCCGGTATCGTCGCTGTCGTATTAGCAGTCATCAGACAGAAGAAGTCCACATACAGCAGTCTCTAAGCTTATTACTTTAACACCTGTTTTTCGTGTACTCTTCTCAATAATACTATACATGGTAATTAATTAAACTATAATTATAGAAATTGTCTTTGAACATGGAGGGAATTTGATAAGAGAACTTTAAAATGTGATGTTCGAATTTGCTAGACTGAAGGCGGAGATCGGGAAGACACAAATCGTCGGGGCGGGTATTGTCGCGTTGTTGGTTGTGTTGACCGTTGTAGTCAACGCATTCCCAACACACAAAATGGACATTCCAAACGACAACAACAATTACAACTTCAACCACACATTCAGGAAAAGCACTTTTCCGTTTCTGATTTGTTGTATTCTCTTTTGGGGTATTAACATCGTGTTCATTGTGTATTTTGCAAAGAAGCGCAACTCAACTAAGTACCTCATCAACGTGTTACTTCTGTTCGCATTCTCCGTTGCGCTGAATCGATTTGCAACGGATGCATTCAAGAAGTTTGCTGGGCGCCCTCGGCCAAATCAATTTTCTCTCGAGTCCAACGGTAAAGCAGGGCAACTATATTTAAGTTTTCCAAGTGGTCACTCTTCAATGGTGTTCAACGCGTCAGCATTTCTCTTTTTGTTACTGTGTGGCGAGTTCAAAATATTTGGAGGTGAAGGGAGTTTAATGGGGTTGTTTGCATGTGGACTGCCTCTCTTGTTTGCTGGTGTTGTTGCAGTCTCACGAACGCGCGACTTTTATCACCATTATGAGGATATCGTCGCTGGTTTGTTGATTGGATGCATCATATCGATTGTGTGCTACTTCTCGAGATTTGAGTCGTTAAGTGGGCAATATTGTGGCGAAATTGAAAAAGAAGAGGATGCCGAAGGAGATAATTACATTGTCTGAGTGTTGTTGGTTGGACTTTTTGCGAGACTGCTCAGCGCGTTTGCGTACTCTGCGGCGAATGATTCAGTGTCAGTGATGTGCAAGAGGCAATCAATCTTTGATAATTCTTTGTTAATGCGTTCAGGGTTTGCATTTTTAGTGATTAAACGCCGGTGTTCAATGAGTTGTGACGATTTTAATCTGCTCAACATCTCCGCTTTGCCTTCTTCCATTTTCTCGATGTGAGAGTCAACAAGTTTGGTGATTTTTCGAAGATACTCCAGGGCAGTGTGAGTTTTCCGAGGCTTTTTCTCCTCATTTTCTTTGGAAAGAACATTGCTCTTTCCCACTATTTCTTCGCCTAATATAGGCCCAAATTCTTCTCTTTTTTCATCCCTCATCTCGTTCCGCAGTTCACTCGTTTTGTCAATCTTAGTTTTTTCAGTTTTATGATTTTTTGTCGAATGGAACTTAATAAATTTGAAAATACACAACAATTCTTATTATTCTATGATATACATATGTACCAACAACATTATAGATCATGTTTGAATATCAAAATTTGTATGTTGTCAATCACAGAATGCATTTACAAACTTATGTTGGTACAAAACTAAAGAATTGCTATCATAAAATTTTATAAATAAATTTTTATTGTAAAAAACTCAATAAATCATGACTTATCAAAACCCAATAGAGATCGATGATTGCGACGACTATCGCGTGTTTGAGGACAAGACTTCGTGTATTTCTTCGGTAACCGAAAACAAAGACGGGTTTCATGTTCCTCCCAAGCTACCTCAATCTTGTATAGACGCGGACAGACAATACGAAAGCCATCCTGTTATGGAAAAAGATAGATGCAAAAATCAAGTTTTCAAAAAACACGATCTGCTTCGAAAAAGGAGAGAAGTGTGGAACGAGATTGAGAAGGTGAACGAGGAGGCGGAACAACAGAGAATACAAGGCAAGAATTTAAGGTACAAAGAAAACCCGTCTCAACAAGGCGTATTGGTGATTACACCTGACGAAGACTCATCCGACGACAGAAAGGTGCCACACGATGTCATCGAAATAAGCGAGAATTCTGACAACAAGGAGGTTAACGAAGAAGACCCTGTGTTAAGTGAACCAATAATTTCATTAAGAAACACAGAGATTATCGATTTGGTAGATTGCAGCGACGACGAAAAGAGCGATAGTGAAGATGACTGTGTGTTGGTAAATGTGTTCCGACCAACAGTGAAGAAAGACGAACACGAGAAAATAAATGACGTGACAGACAGAACTGATATAACTTGCAGAAGAGTGTTTAGTATTGACGGAGAAAGAACACGAATAAGAGAAGACGCGATGCACATTGAAGTTTTGCAAGAAGGGGTTTTCGAGGTCGGGATACACAGCGTCGACTGCACCAACTTATTGAGTTTTGACAAGGGAGGTGCGATTTCGTTGATGAAAATGTGCCAAAAAGGGAGTAATATCGAGTTTGTTAAAAGGAATGACAAAGTAACAATGTCACTTGATGTCGGGAAACAGAGAAACACGATTAGCTTGGTGATGAAGTGCGATCAGAACGGAGACATCATCGAGCAACCCGTTTTATGCCAGTCGTTTATCGCATCAAGAGGAAATCTAACGTTTGTTCAATTTGAAAATTTGTTGACACGATTTCCAAATCCAGAAAACTGTGGGTATAATTTTCAAAACACGCAAGAGTTTGGCAGAATTTGGAACACATCAATTTACCAACTGAAAATGGACGGGCAGAACTTGCACGACGTTGTGGGGTTTCAGTTTAGTAAAGCAAAAAATGAATTGATGATGGGCGAGAGATTGGTGAGGGACATCGGACTGTTTCTTGGAAAGTACATTGGGCAATACTTGGTGAAGGTGTATAACAGGTACGCGTTTGTGAAGTATTATAGTGGAAAACCATTTGCGACGTTTCGAAGCCCACTTAGAAAATTGGGCGATTATTTTGTGTTGAAACAACTTGTTTGTGCAATGCATCACATGAGCTGGGAGCAAATGGCAAAGGACTTAATTGGTGGGAGTTTGGAAGACTTGCGTGAGCTTATCTATACGTATCGCAAGTATACATAAACACTCCCCATTGTTAATTGTAGTGTGTATTACTTTTGTGTACAAATCGACAAAAAAAAATTCAACCAAAGGAATACAACATAATAATTACACTATTTTGTGAAATACACTTCAGGGAAAAACAAAGCAAGTTTTGTGACGCGATACAATTGGGATAGCGAAACAGTTCTTTTTGATAGTAATGGGCGTGTTGTTATCAAATAGGAATACGTAAAGAACTTTTGCTGAATTGAAGAAATCGTCAAGAAACAGCGCGCTGCAGTCATATAAGCAAAAGAAGTTTAAATTGAGAGACTTTGCATTGAAAACGCGAATTTCGGACTTCTCGATTTTGAGGGAAACGAGAGAAGAAGGAAGGTGTACCGACACGTCGAATGAGTCGATGATCTTGAGATTGAGCAACCCAATGTCTATTAAGTTGATTGCCTTTTTGTAACAAACGGAGACGAGTTTGAGTGAACGAAGCGAACGTGGAAATTTGAGTTCTGTGAAGTCGCCATCCAAACACAATTTTGTCAAGTTATTAAGTTTAATAAGATCAGCAGAAGTTTTCATTGAAAGTCTGATAAAGAGTTTTTTCAACGAAAGTGATGTGTTGACAACTGACGCTGACTCGAGACGCAAATAAGTGAGACTTGGAGGGAAAAGCACGTCTTGCTTTGTGAATCCGTCCGTTGTGAGTTCCTTTAGATTAGTCAATCCGTTGAAGTTAGCATAATTTCCGATAGTGTGGATCTTAGTGAGTGAAGTGAGAGCGTTCAAGTCGAAGTTGAAAGTAGAAAAGAAACATTGGAGGTAGTACAAGTGAGGTAAATTGTCAAATGAGAGCGCCGAGTTGTTTGTTGTGAGTGAACTTACAGACAAAGGAATAGATCCGTTGTACCTGGACTGATTAATTGTTAGTCCTTTTAGATGGACATTTGGAACGACACGATCCCCAACAGCTTCTATGTTATTTGGATATGTTATAAGAAGCCAAGGGACATCATTTTTAATTTCAGATAAAAATGTGTATTGAGAAAGGTCTAAACAGACTTTTCTATGCACAGGAGTATCTGAAACAACAAAGGAATTTGGTTTGAGTAAGATACTTGTAGGAAGATATTTTGTAAGAAATTCAGTGAATGTGTAACACTGTGGAGCGACTTGGATAACTACTTGGGTAGACATATTCACATGAAAATATTTCGACATTCCACAAATATAGTCTTTACAACAGAACACTATATCGTTCTTCAATTTTGGCATTTCAAAGGTATTGAGCAAAGACGGAGAAATACAGTCGGCAAAGAATCGGACGTTCGGAGCTTTGCACTGGCACACCAAATCGATAACACTATAATTGAGTTCTTTGTAACAGTAAATACCAACATAATTTAACACAGGAAGCGCATTAACTGCTTCGACAAAGGATGGTTTGACCTCCAAACAAGTGACTTTGATTTTCTTGAGTGCTTCAAATTGATTGAAGTTAAAACAGTTGAATTTGTTGTTGACAGTGAGTTCGACTATTTGCTGTTTTAAGTCATCCAATATGTTTGGAGTGCACGCGGAAGTTACAATAATTCGGTGGATATTTTTATTTTCCAAGACGCGTTTTTTGAAGCAAAGCAACAAATTTTCGTCGATGCGGACAGTTTCGATTTTTTCGTATAAAAGTAGTTCTTTCGAAAACTGAATATTCCTTTGAATTTTTTCGGCATTAAACAATGAAGAGATGTTCGACTTGATGTTCAGTGGATTAATTTTCAACATCAAAACAACGTCTTGGCATTTTTTATTAATTTGAATGAAATTGACGGCCATACGGAAATCAGTATTGAACCGAAGTACAATCGCCAGAAAGCACTTCTCTAACATGTCTAATTGAATTTTTCAAGTTTATTGCATCTCAAATATACAATTCAATGTCGACCGACGACAAATCCGGTTCAGAAGACAAAATCGAGGGAGACGACGTTTCAATCGACGTGGACGATGTTATAAAACAAGTCGAAAACAAGAAAAGAACATTCCTTTGTAAGGAGGATTTACGCAACGTGAAAATTTTCGAGGTAAAACAATTCGGAGGGTTAAATAATAAAATTATAGTTTATGAAACTAATAAGAAACTCTTGCTGGAATTGAAAGAAGTAGTCTTCGAGTATGGGTCGACCTACAATCCACCTTCTATGCTCAGTGGACACAACCAAATGATCGCAACTCCATTTGACCTGTTTTTCTTAGCTTTGCATTTCCTAACTATAGAACACGTGTTAAGTCTACACGCCACAGAGAAACAGTACGTCAGTTTGGTATTATAAATATTTACTGTATTTATAGTAATTTAACTAATAGTAACTAGTTTAATACCCGAAGAGTTTCGAGAGGTGTTATATAGTGTATCAACGGCACTACTAATAGAGAACGCCGGTGTCATTGAAGTTGATGAGAATGCAGTGAAAGAGATATTGCGATTGAAAAGAGAAGCGATTAGTCTAGTCACTTTGAATACGGAGAAACAGTCGTCTAAGAAGACCACATTAGACGCCTTTGTTAAACGAGTCACTGTGAAAGATATAGATGTCTTATACCCATATGTAGGCCCGTTTTGGTTTGATAGAATGGGATGGGAACCCGTTGAAGAGGAAGAGGACTGTTTACACGCAGACGAGTATCACAAATATGCTGTGAAAAAGAAGGCGCGAACAACGAAGAAAAAGACCACGAAAAGAACAAGACAACCAAAGTCCGAGTAATTGATTGATTCATTTTCTTAATTATTGTTAATGAAACTATAATTAAATAATAAAAAAGTCATTAACGTATAATACAGAACACTATTTGCTCCATTTCAGTTTTTTGAGTCAATGGAGAAAAGAGACTAAAAAAAAGGGGTTTCTTGAAAAGTTTAATGTCGTACTACCAAACACTTAACACTCAATCTTATTTTGAAGAAACAGGGCCCCCGTTTAGTGTGGATGAAGATTTTGGTGTTACGTATCGCCTTGTTAAAACCAAAACTAAACAACAGAAGTTACTGATTTCACTCCAATTGGACCCATCAGACTTCACAGATATTCAAAACAACTTGACGGCACTCTCCTCACTCTTTTATACACAGAAATTTAAAATAATGAAGTCGTTTATGAAAGTCGATCGAATGGTTATCGGATTGGTCGTTTGTGCTTATTATAGTTTTGTAATAGTTATAAGTATTATAATATATAATAATAATATAATAAAATAACTATAAGAATACTACTGTCGAGTGTTGGCTTATAGGCGAAATGCCTTATACAACGACTTTAGAAGACCATTTGATATCAAATAGCCCAAGACAAGATGAGAGGAAATTTCTGTTACACGACTTGTTGCATATCTGTGACGATTTACACAAGTCACAGGTCCAAATATCTTTTTTGAAGAATCACTTGTTTCTGAGACAATGCGACTCGTCGCCTTTCCCACAGCTCTGCATTTCCCCAGTCACGTTACTGATCCCATACGTCTCGCAACTGTATGGGATTGAAGTCCCCGATTTTAAAGAGGTGGTGAGTAAGATCATTCCCACGATATTAAACACCCCAGAGTCACACATCTTCTCCGAGGCACTTTTGACACAACCGATCGAGCAAGTATTCACATCACAGTTTGTCTCCGAACTTGAAAGGTTTTCTACTGTTGAAGAGGGTGATATGAGTGTCTATACCCCAATATCTCCAATAGGCACGGGTGGCTTTGGGTTAGTCTTTAAAGCAGCACAGAGGGATGGGAGAGTTGTAGCGATCAAAGAAAGTGGGCCGAAGGGGATCGACTATTTAAAGCGTGAAGCGGTCATCCTTACGATCTGCCATCATCCGAACATCGTGAGTATCTTAGGGTTTGGGGTCTCGAAATTTTCGTTGGGGTACAAATTGAATTTCATCAAAGAGCGAATCGACTTTCCGCGGGGGTATTTAGTGATGGAGTGTTGTAATGGTGATTTAAATGCGTATGTTGAGGGGTATCTGAAGCGTGGGGAACTCTTATCACTGAACTTAGTCTCTGCGATCTTCAAACAAATAGCGGAGTGTATGCATTATCTTCACTTTGAAAAGGGGTTAATCCACCGCGACATCAAATTGGAGAATTTTTTAATAGTCGACCACACGCCATACCCTCTTGTGAAAATCACTGATTTTGGATTTAGTAGGAGCTTGGCTAATGAGATGGAGACGTATAAGGGATCCCCTTTATTTATAGCTCCCGAGATCATGTTACGTACACCATACTCATCGAAGTCGGACTTATACTCAATTGGTGTCTGCTTGTTCCGGTTGTGTACGTGTCAGTTTCCATTTGGCTCGACGGAGGCGGAGTTTGTGAGATTCATGAAGGAAAAAAAGGAAGTTGTCTTTCCACGGAAATTAGAGGAGAACAGCACGTACGCGAGCGTCATCGACTTGACGAAAAAACTGATGAAGTACGACGACGAGCAGCGAATCGACTGGGACCAATTCTACGGGCATTATTATATGAAGTTCTTGTTCAGCAGTTTCAATGAAAATGAGGTGTGATTATGTAATGTTAGGTTTAGAGACAATCATTGCGGTGTTGTTTACTATGAGCTTTGATTTTGTGATATATAGAGAGCATTGAATGTACCTTTCTCGAGAGTGAATAGTTTAAAAACCCTTGAAATGCGCGTATAATAATAGGAATACAGAAGACCTAATTCAAAATGCTTGAAAAAATAACATCAACTGAATTTCACAAATGAAAATCCTTTTTGTGTGTCTTGGGAATATTTGTAGAAGTCCAGCAGCAGACGGAGTTATGAAAAAGTTAGTGAAAAGTCGAGGGTTGAGTGCGAAATATATTATTGACTCTGCTGGAACAGCTGGATATCACTCGGGAGATCAGCCAGATTCAAGAATGAGAGCCGCTGGGTTGGGAAGAGGGTATACCTTCGACCATATCTCGAGACAAGTCAAACAAAGTGATTTCTCTAACTTCGATATTATTGTGGCAATGGACGACTCTAACTACTCGGACTTGATGTATAACTGCCCAAAAGAATATCAAGACAAAATTCATAAGATGGTCGAATACTGCAAAAAATCAAAAGACTCCGAAGTGCCAGACCCTTACTACTCGGGCCTAAAAGGGTTCCAAAAAGTTATAGATATGCTCGAAGACGGATGTAAGAATCTACTCGATCAGCTTGAAAATGCGGGAGACGAATAATTGAAAGATATTTTATTGCAAGTGAATGATAGTAGCAAGTTATAGAACTACATCTCAGTGACATTTATATATAGTTTTTATTATAGTTAAAATTAGTATTTTTTTATTTTATTTAACACTAAATATTTATTTATATTTATTATTAAATAAATTATAAAAATTGTTATGGCATTTTTTTACAAAAAAAAACAAATTATGCGAAATTATAATTATAGTAATAGTGATTATAACATTTACTATTATAACAAATTATAACTAATAAATTAAAACCATCAAAAATATAAAATAATACAAAGTCAAATTATTTTTTTGTAAATCGGATTCAGTAATAATATTTAGATTAAGGTTTAAATAGATTATAATAATTTAAATGTAGTTTTGCAATTTATTATTTTAGTTTATCTTTGTTATTAAATTCTAGTTGAATTAAAATAAAAACTAAATAAGGTTAAAAATAACTCTTTTCAAAAAATTTTTCAAAAAATTTAAACGAAAATCTTTTTAATTAATAAAATGATTTATATAACTAAAATTACAATTATGAGTAATAACTATTAATTATATTATATTATATTATTTTAATTTATTAAATAGTATTTTATAGAATATTTATATTTATAATAATTTCTTGGTATTTGTTTGAATACAATAAATAAAAAATATAGTAAAGAAGTTATAAGAGTATAGTATAAGTCTTGTTATTACCAATTCAACTCAAAGCACTAACATCTGTTAAATCAAATGACAAAAGTCTCGCAACAAAAACAACCCACGGAACCAACTGGAACAATACCCCCACCGCCCACCGAACAACAACCGCAATATCCTGGAGTTATGCATGTGACTGGATCGATTGTTATATCACAGCTTTTCAACAACGGAGTCATCAATTTTACAGGAACCACTTCAGACCAAAAGGGTGTGAGTCAGCAGCCACAAATAGAAGTCAAAACGCACTCTTCTCAAGTTGTGAAAGAGAATGGAAAGCCCGGTGTATCAACGGAAGGGCAATCAAGCTCGATTTCGCCTGACGACAAGAGAAGTGAGGGTGTCCGCAATCGGTGTACTGAGAAGTATGAAAGAAGTCTTGGGGAGTTCACAGAGAGTGACGGATGTGGGAATGATGAGAATTCGATTGTCCGCGGGCAAAGTGAAAAGAAGAGTGACAATTCCTTATCAGACCCCGAGTTAAGTACTGTGACGACGATCTTAAAGTCAATGGAAAGTGATTTAAAAGAATTGATCATTAAAGAGAAGACTATAACGGAGACTGTGAATCAATTAACGGAGTCAAAAAAGACTTTAAAATCCCCTTCACAAGTCCAAGACCTTCACGAACAAGTTGAATCGAATGAAAAGATGTTAGAAAGGGTGTCAAGCGAGTTTGGACGACTGAAACAGTTTTCGACGTCAATGAGTGAAATGGTCCGCCCAAGTGCATCTGTTGTTATACGCCCGACTATTACAGTCCCACAGAAATTACCAAGTCTTGAAGAAATGGTGGTAGAGCCTGTTATAGGACAACTCAAATTTCAAAAGAAAATAGTCGAGTGGACTAATATGTGTCAATACCGAGTCTTGTATAGAAGCACTAAAGACAATTTAACAGCAAAAGCTTTAAACGCCAAAATATGTGGAAGAACAAATATCTTACTCATTGTTATTACTAATAAGAATTACGTGTTTGGTTCATACTCGTCCGTCGCTATACCAAATCCACCAAAAATTGGTGACCACCACGTAGGACCAGACAACGCGTTCTTCTGCTTCACATTCCAAAACCCATTCAATACAGAACCCCTCAAAATCACTAAAAAGACGACATCAACATCACTCAAAATATATTCGAATAAGGAACAAAGCTATGTCGTTGGCGTCGACGCTTGCTTCTATATCAGGGCTAACTGCCCATCACACGTCCCAAGCTGCTTTGCAGAAAGCTTCGATGACCCTACAAAGAAGGGAGGACTCCTCTTTGTCAACGCAGTATACCCGGACAAATTCGGGGTCCAGGAACTGATGGCGGTAGAACTCTCTAACTAATGTGTATTGCAGCCTCGTTGGTGTGGGATGGTTAATAGAATATGGGGTTGGTCATTTGGTTATCTTTTAGATATTAAATACAAAGAGGGAGTGGAAGTCAAATAATTGAATCTCTAAAGGACGACTTCTTTTTACATCCAATGAATCTATTGAACCAATATGAAAAGAGGGAGATGGTATAAGTTTATATTTAGTATAGATATTATGTTTGTATAATAAATAGAAGATAATATCTAGTGCTTAATAATATATATATAATATAATAATAATAATAATAATAATAATTATAATTATAATAATAATAGAATATATTTATGGTAAAAAGGAGTTCAATAATTGAGAATTACTTGGGAGAAGTATGCTTTTGCAATATTCAGTCTTATTTTATATAGTAAAAATGCAAATTAAAAAAAAAGATTGCTTTGACGCAAACAAATAAATTGGTAATAATTGATTAACTATTAAGAATTATTATTATATCAATTAGAGTCGATTAGAAAAAATAGGATAAAGAACTTAAATAGACTTTCTTCTTTTTTATCATTCAAACAAAAGAAGTTTCGTATAAAATAATACCGAAATATTTCGGGATACTAGCAAGAAAATATGCCAATATCCCGATACCGTGATAATTTGGAAATTTTGTAAATAGGATGCCCAATAGAGTTCACACTACAATGTTTGAAAAGTTGCAAATAGTATAAATATAGAATTAAAAGTTATATTTTTTAGAGTATTAATTACAAATGCTCGAAAATGCCCAAAAGTGAGATAAATCTCCTCAAAAAGTCTTTTTTTTGTTTTTTAATAGTAAAACATTTTGTTTTTTAAATAATATTATTTTGTATAATAAATTATAGTAATATTAATAATACAATCAATAGTACTGCCGTTATTGCCGAATAATATGATATGTTTTGTTTCATGGCACTTCTGTGTCTTTGCAAATTTCTTGAGCCGCTTGTCTCCTACAGTTTTCCTGTCGTAAAAAATAACATAATGCCAGCCACACCAATTTTTTTCAAAATTGTTCTTAACGACATCTTTGGTATAAATAAACTATATATAATAATTATTTTATTATGACATATAGTAAAAACAATATATTTACTTTTGAGTTCACATTTTAGTCGACAGAGTTTTATTTGAATTCTATTTTTAAAGTCCTACTACAAAACACAGGAAGTCGCAGGAGGAGAACGTTATAATCAAAGTATGGACAAGATACTTGGTAAAACTGATATGAATGAGATCAAGCGTGAGTCGAAGAGTTTTGAAGGTGTTCAACAAGGTGTTTTAATAGCTCTTTTGAATTCGATAGGGTTTTCCTTTGAATTTCGTCGTCCGGAAAGGTATGCCCTTAAGACAGTCCAATACCTTATAATCAACGATGTTTATTATGAAGGAAAGAAGTTAGACTTTGGGCGAGTTATTAATGATTACTGTGAGAAGCAGTTTAAGACTGAAGTTAAGAAAGAGATGTCGATCAATCAAGTGAAGACTGTGAAACGAAGAAAAGACTTGAATAGAGCGGCATTAACATTTAATTGGTTAGTCGATTATGCCGAACAAAACGGGTTTATAGTCCATAAGAGGTCAACTAAATCTTCAAAGAAAACATTACAAATGGAAAAAATCAATGAGATATCAGCTGGTGGGTTTATTATCGTCTCTCAGTCACAAATGAATCAAATAGGTAAGCAAATGAATCAATATATAGTCTCACAATTCGTCAAAGAAATGAAGTCGTCCACTTTACAACCATATCATCCATTCTCTACTTCTTTGATGCAAACTAATAAAAACCAACTTCAAATAGTCCAAGCAATAAATCAAATCAATTCACAAGTATCATCGACAACTTCAATCGCTTCGATTATTTCAAATTCGAATTACTCAAATGCGTCAAATAATTCTCACCTTTCTATTGGACAAAATACATCATCAGTCGAGAGTCAAGACGTCTATGAAACAATAGAACTCCCTCAGTATAGGCTTCAATTTGCTCCAATAGGACCATATGTCCCTTATTCTTATGTTTATTAATTACTTTAGGTTTTATTTATAATTAACTTTGTTACTTGTTTTCCACCAATGAATTCAAAATGTATTTTATTAAAATTCATTAAAATGAATTTAAAATGTGTTTTATTAAAAATCATTAAACAACCCAAAATAAAATATTGAAATGTAATAACAGTCTTACCACAACCCAGCTTTCTGTTCCTCTGCTTTCTGTTTCCACGCTTTCCACCCTTTGAATTCTTCAAAGCCGACTTCAAACAACATCAGAAAATCTTCATCAGACATATGAAACTACTTCATGAATACTTATTACTACAAATTAATGAGAAGAACAAACAACTAATTGGTCGTGTTCGATGCCTTCTGGCTTCGCAGTTAACTCGTTAAACGAATAGACGTCGAGTCCCAATGAATTTTTCTTTCTTTTCCCGTCGACCATTTCAACATTTTTTCCTCTCAGAACTGCCCGTGTCAGCGCATTATTTCCTGTGCTTTTTTGGTTGTTAATAACAAGATCGGAACTACTTCCAGTGACTTTCTCTTGACTCCCGAGTGCCAAAGTGACAAGCTTTGGATTTGAAAAGCTTCCTGTACTTCCCGTACTTGTCTTTCTCGATCTTGGTCGTACGGAGACAGACATTCGATCCGACATGAGCATATCCTTCTCTTTCAGTGACGGCAACATCGTTTGGGAATATCTTTTCCCTTCCGGTGGTTGTCTGATTTCAACCTTTTTGATGTTGTCCGACGAGACTGAAGTGTCCGAAATGACAACGGGCCGTCTCACACAAATTGACATTCTTCCCTGTGCTATTCTCCTCTTCTTTAATTCCTCTTCGGGGTCGATATTTCGATCAAATGTGAGTTCGTCAAGAGTCTCCCCGGTGTTATCTTTTTTCTGGTCCAATAACATCGATTGTTGCGCAAACGACTTCTTCTTCATTTCGTTAATCATTTTTATGAGTCCTCCATCGGGCGAGAGTACTGTCCCTTGGAGTTTCACTTTCGTTCGAATCCCCGCTTTAATTTTAAAGCAGTCTTTGTGTTGATTGCAAAGCAACAATTTAATTCGTTGTAATGGGAAGACCATTTTCGCAATGCCATTGTTAACGATCACAAAGTTGCTTGGTGTGAGAACGCCAAGCACTTGAGTCTTTTTCAGTGTGAAGTCTCTTTCATACAAAATGTCTCCGTCTTGGGTCGTCAAGAATTTTCCTCTCTTGTACTTCTCAAATAACTGGGGCGTCTTCCTCTCCGCATCCGCCTTGTTTTTCGACTCGTTAATTTCTGTGGTGACACGCTTGACTAGCACCATCATCTCATCTAGAGTTTTCCCATCGGGATGTCCTTCCCATGTATGTTTTTTTAATTCATTCAATAATAAGACGTACCGAGGAAGTCGTTGAACAGGCATAATCAGATATGAAGACATGTCTTTGTCATTTCCTTTTGCTTCGTCCAAGCCTTGTTTGACATAGTCGATGCACAGGATTTGTTCGACTCGCTGGATAGACAATGAATAACTTATCATATATGTTTTATACACCTCCAACGCACCTTCTAATATCTTATACACAGAGAGAAACGACCCATTTGCTTTGATATCTTGCGCTGACGTCTTTAATTTATCGAGAAACCCTTGATTGAAGTCGGCTATCTCCTCAATGTTATTAAAGATGACGTGTTCGGAATCCGCGGCAATGACACCTTCTTGGACAAACTTATTAATTAGAGGCTTAAACTTTTTAATACACTCATATAAATATCCAACATAGTCAGTCTCCGTCGTCACCATCTCATTGATCACTTTGAGCCTAAAGGCGGCTTTCTTCCGAAGAGAGTTCATCGTATTTTTCGCGGAAAATCGCCGGAAATAGGCCTGCGCCTTCGCAACGGTTTCCTCAAACTGGTCCACTACGAATTAACTATAATTTTATAATTAAAATACTAGTATGTATAGTTCTTTTGACTCGATTGGACGAAGCTGTAAAACAAACTGTTGAAACTCTTGTTCGTCGACATCAGAAGTTTCAGCGTACGCCTGAAGACCTCTGCGGATACTCTAACTTTGCCAACCAAAATCTGTTTTGGCGTTTTTAATTGTTTGAGTAATTGGTCTCCATTTTTCTCCTTTTCAAGAGCTGCGCGCGCGTCTGCGATAGTGACCGAAGGTAGTGGAGCAACCACATACTGTTTATAACATTGCTCAGCAAAGGAAGTGAGACATTCTACAATTTGCACAATGTTCTATATATTAATAATTACTTTACTATAATTTAATAGTATACCCCTTTGAGAGAGACAAACGTGTTTAGCGAAGTCTTCGAAGGAGACGAGTTTAAGTAAAGGGACTCTGAGCTCTCTACAAGAGACAATGAACATACTAAAATTCTCTCTTTGTTTGTATGGATTTTTAGAATCATGAATAGTTGGAATGAGGTCATCATCAATTGTCTTTGCTAGATAACACAAAATAGTCCCACCAGCTAAAGACACACATAAGTCTGAATCTATTGGGACTTTCAAAATCGACTCGATCCAACGAATGAGTGATAACTTCTTTTGGAAGAACTCAACTAGAATCTCTTTTTCCATTGTCTTTTTGAGTTTTTCGTTTTTACTTGGTGATTCAGTAATACTACAGTTCTAGGTTGCGGGTACTATATTTTTACTAGTGAATATTCTTCGGTCTTGAATACCCATAGACAAACTTTTTTTGGTTTTCAAGTGGAGGTTTTGGTGTTTAAAATTATTTGGTTTTGTGTTGATTGATATACCCGTAATATAAAGTTATGTTATGAACCATAAGTTTTAATTTGTTAATGAAAAAAACTTTACTTGACCAAGTTTTAGAGACAAATAATTTCTTGTGTGTAAATTATCACTAAAAATGTTTTTCAATTAACAACAACATGTATTATATAATATAATTAAAATAAATCACTATAAATAGTACAATTGAGATTTCAAGTAATAATTTTTACAAATTATGATGAATTATTTAATTGACAGAATATTTCATTTTTTATATTTAGTTTGATGTAAAATAATTATAACAAATGTAATAGTTCTTTAATAAAAATAAGAAACTATTATTATTTTTTATTATTTTATTATTAATATTATTATTTTTATATACCATTTTCTTAAAAATATTGTTAAAAACAATAGTTAATTACTTTATTAAAAATATAATTGTTAAATTTATTATTGTTTTTTAAACAATTATATTTTACTATTTCATTATTTTCAGTATTTTCAAAAAACAAACAATTCCAAAAATAAACTAACAATGAACTATGATCAATCTATTAAAAACTATTTGATAAAGCGACTAAGAATATGTGATATCTTAGAAGGATATTGGCAAGTGAGTATTGTTTTGAGATAGAACACACCCGTTTGGAGTCATTAAGTGTAAGATAGTATTGTTGATTTGCATTCCGATTTTAGCGATCTCATGAAACCCATAGGACTTTCCATTGATCTCAAGTTTTTGAATTCTCTTCATCTGGACACAGACGATAGAAGTCTTACCTTTCTTAAACTCGAGAGATGTGTTGCAATAAAAGTTAGCTAACTCGATCAGTTTGTTATTTGTTAAAGCGTCGAGATTTCGACGTTTCTTTTTCATGTCTTCCTCTGATGAGTCGCATTCAGATTCCGAAAATATTAACTCTCCATTTTGACTAATTTCTTCCACAACAAATACTTGTGCGGTTGTCTTCCCCTTTTTATAAAGCTTTTTTAATTTAATATCAAATCCATGTGACACAAATAAAGCTAATAAAAAGCTTTGTTGTGCAGCATCTCGGTCCACTGATGCTCTTTTGGCCAATAACAGTCCTCTATTCTTCGCAACTTTCTCTGGAGTTCTTATTACTTTTCTTTCATTGAGTAAAACTGAGTCTTTGCAGTTTAATTTGTTATCTGAAGATAAAATGTAGACTCCTTTGGATTCTTCAGTGATATGATGATGGAAAGTAAAAGCAGAGGGAGTTACAAAATCCATTGAGGTACCTGTGGGTATTATAGTTTTGTTTTGTTTTTATTGCAGACAATGAAGAATAAGTGAAACACAAAAAGATGAGGTATTAATTTGTGGAAATTAATAATAGTTTAGGTGTACTATTATATACACTTTTCGTATTACTAATCACATGATAAGTTTTTGTAGAACATAAAATTTTCTACTTGTGATGTTTAGGTTTCAGTTTTCACCAAGTTTGAATTTATTTAAAAATTTAAGTTCATTTAATTATATATTTGTTATAATTAAATAACACTTTTTGATGGTGCTAGTTTTTTTTTGTTTTTATATTTTTATATAATTCTAATTAATATATTATATAATACATTTTTGTTGTTTATTTAAAGAGCTTTCATTCTGAAAGAATGAAATATCCATATTGAGTAACGTATTCTGCATTTTACACCCGAAAGTTGTTATAGCTATTACTCAATCTTTTTTTAAATTACATTATAGTTTAATTGTTATCATATTGAAATATCAAACAAATATCGTTGACCAATATCGCGTGTTAGTTGAGACATCGTTTTTTTTTGAAATCCATTTTAGCTATTGAATATAGAAGTTTATAATAGTTTATTATAATTATAATATTATAATAAATCATATCTATTTATAACAATAAAAAATAATATTCAATAATTGAATTACAGATAGTATAAAATTTGGGTGTCAAGAATAAATTGGGTGTCAGATTGATTTTGAGTTATTTAATGGTTTTTCATATTTTTTTTTGTGGGGAGAAAAAATAAAATAAAAACAAAACCCATTTTTTTACATTAACTAATCCCTAATTTATTTGACACCCAATTTATTCCTGACACTTTATTTTTCTACTATCTGTAATGTTAATTATTTTTAATTTGACAAATAATAATCCAGAATTGTGTTAAATAGTATAAATATAGCTTTTAATAACAACAAACATAAATTAGTTTCAAATAATAAAACTAATTAGTTTGGTAACAAAAATATCAAACACAACATTTATAAGACACTTACATGACAAATAAACTCTGAATTAGTTTTCGACATTTATTATAATTTTATTATAATTTTATTACAATTTATACCATTGAATTAAAATAAATCATTTATTAGTAAACAAACTATAAAAATAGTTTATACACACAATGTTGAAATTATAATGGTTGAAGTGTATCACTTGTCTTTTGCTTGTTGGGGAGAGGTGGGAGTGGTTTATTAACTTTTTTGAACACGACTTTTCCTGCACTTGTGGACACAACGACTTCCTTATCTTCGCATTCTTCTGTGTTGTTCTTCATTTTTTTCTTGTTGTTTTGTGATGTTCCCATCATGAAATTCACAAAAGAATCCAACGACAGACCAAGGCCATTCTCTTCATTTTCTTTGTCGTCCTCGTGTGTCACTTCAGACCGATACATATCTGGTTGCATGACCACAACAATCCAATCCAAATATTTCGCACCAGAAATATGTCGAGCTATATATGCGTCCTCCGTGTTTTGGAACGTGACCAACACGTCTCTCCTTCCGTCTTTTCTTGGAAACCCCTCAACACAGAAATCCTTCATATCCACAACCTTCCCGACATTGTTCAAAATCGTTTTCAAGTCACTCATTGGGATACTTGGTGGGACTCCCACCACCACTACTTCCCCACATTCACTCATTTTGTTTTGGTAGTTTTATTAACTTTCTTTAGTCTTCCTTCTCTTTTACTATAAAGTGAGACTTTTAGTTTTGATTCAAAACTGACTTTCTTTAATATATTTTAATATCATATAGATTATCTCTTTTGTATCATATTTTATTATTTAAGTATAGTACATTATATATCCTCATTTCTCTATAACATTTGAAAGAACAAAAAGGAAATAAGGAGAGTTAATTGTTACCTTGGTGGACCATCTTCTCGGTTTCTATTAAGAAGCAAGTATCGTTGACAAGAGTGAGGAGTTGTTGGATGTCTTCGCTCCAAATGTCCAAGACTTCCTTTGGGTCCTTAGTCTTGACAAACGAAACGAGAGCTTTTGGCCTGTCGATTTTCGCAAAGATTTGTTTCGAATTGACTAACGCACATATCTGCTTTTCAAGTTCATTGATAGTCACACCAAGCAACTCCGCAAATCGCGACAGAGTGATGTTGTGATAATACTTCGCGATAATCCTTACGTTGTGTTGTGTGATTTGCAATTGAAGTCGCGCCGCAATTTCCTCCACAGGTCGTTCCATATGAATTGCGCACTCGCTCTTATATAACTCGACATACACTCCAACCAATCTCTTGGAGTCTATCACTTCTTCTGTTAAGAACATTTCAACAGCTCCTTGATAGACTGGGAAGTTCTCCAACATCCGAATTCCTTTCAGTTTCGTCAGCAAGTCTTTCTTCTCTGGAATGAACTCGGCACATATCAAATACATGACAGCCAATTTCAGTGCAACACTTTCGTCAATACAGAACTTCTGTGTTCTCAAAAACTCGTTTTCGGATATTTCAAACTTGACTTCCGGTTTCAGCGCAGTGAGTGTCTCAAAGCACATCAACATCATTCTGCAATTCTCGATGTAGTTCATTTCATGCGAGTAATACTTCACCATCAGTCGACAGAATTCCAGTCGTAATTCTTCAAACCCCTCCGATTGGATTGTCGTTCGGTTCACTTTATTCGACAACAACATCGCTCGCAAATAATCATCACACTCCAACGAAATTCGTAATTGAACCAACAAAAAATCCATTCGTTCTTTCTTATCGAGTGATGTGAACGTTTCGATATGCATCGATTGCATCAATTGTGTCGCTTCGGCCAAATTTTTGTTGTGTTCCAAGAAGAGCGCATAGTCCTTAACTATCCTTGCTCGTTCAATATCAACAAAGACTTTCCCTTCAGTCTCCGTGCAGACAGACTTACTCATCATTTCATAATGCACAAAGTCCCCTTTCGCTTTCAACTGTTGGATGTACTCCGCACACTTTTTCACTACAACTATGATCGCAGATTTTTGTTGTGCGCGACGTGTTAATATGAAGTGGAAGACATTCACTAAAGTCTCAACAGTGGAATGTTCCCATGCATTCTCCATGAGGGCGGTAACGGTTTTATTCAGTAATTCCATCTTCTCCGAGTTGCGCGCAAATTTCTCGATCGCGACTAATTCAGTGTAGCTCTGTTCGTAATTCGTCAAACCTAATTCCTTTGCAGTGTCAACTGATGCTATGGTGTACTCGGTTTCCATCACTTTCTGATTTATTTGTTAGATTGAAGTTTTTCACTTTTTTGTGCTTTTTATTTTTTTTTTCAGATTGACATGTTGAGGATTACTTTATAATACTATTTGCCGTATTATTGGATATCTTCGTTTTTTAAATATAATTATTCAATCTTACTTTTTGAAGTCGGCAAAATTGTCCTTTTTTTACTATAATTTGGCTTTTTATATAGTAAATTTAATATAATTTATTTATTCTAAATTAGTTAATTGTGTTACTATAGTAATACTAATAATACTAAACATTATAATATTGATAACACAAGAATAAACTATATATATATTATAATCCAATACTATATAACCTTAGTTTAAATTATAGTTTAAAATATCTAACAATTAGTTTGGTCAATACAAATCTCAAACAATACAATTTTCTAATGTATTTGTGAAATTGAAAATTCATTAAGTTTTAACTTATTGATACAGCACACTTTCTTTTGACCACTTTTCGTTTTTATTGATGTAGAATTCGCCAATTTCATTTTCTGTTATTCACACTTTTTTCTTCTCAAATTTTTTGTTATTAACGAACTCAAAATGACCAAAAAAGAAGAACTCAGAATTTATAAAATGTCGAACAAGATCAAGATAGGGCTGTTGGGGGATATGGGTGTTGGCAAGACGTGTATAGTTCAGCGTTTTTGTTTCCACACGTGTTTGTTCTCTCGTTCACACAAGACGGTTTTAATACTTTAAATAAAAATACGAATAACATTTTAAATAACATTTTACAAAGGAAATAACACATAACATTGCAGATAAAGACCTCTATGAATCCACTATTGGAATTGAAATCTGTGATAAAGAAGTGACTGTGGATGGTCAGATGTATCCCATTCAGATCTGTTTGTTATTCTTGTTAATATTAATATGACATTAGAGGACGGTAATGATTAAGGAAAGACATTGGTGATAACAATAAGGGGATACAGCTGGACAAGAACGTTTCAGATCAGTCTCACGTGTATTTTTCAACGATATCAAAGGGATATTCATTGTGTTTAGTTTGGACTCAATGGAGACTCTCAATCACTGCAAAGACTGGTTGGACGACTTCTATAGTGTAGTTGATCATTCTAAAAACATTCCCGTAGTGTTGGTTGGAAATAAGTTGGACTTAATCACGGACGAAGGTGGAGTCAGAATACCAGAAGACGTCATAAAGAAGTTTGTTGCTGCGAATGACATTCCTTTGTATGTTGAAACGTCGTCTAAAAAGGATTTAAACATCGACTCGTCGTTCCAAGAAATGCTCTCGATCATCGTGAAGAGAAATTTGCATCTTAATGAAGAGAAAGAAGTTGTTGATATCACCCAACAACAAGAAACTAAAAGCACCTCAGAAGTCTCTCAACCTTCGTCGTGTTGTTAATTCATTTTTTGTGCTTCAAGTGTTTACAAATTGTTGTTTGTAGGAGTATTATAATAGTAAACCAACTATTATAATAACTTATTTATTTCAAATAGATTTCTTCTTGGGTGTGTACTTTCGCGAAGATTTGAATTTGGTTAAGTAATCGACGTATCTATTAACGAACACTTCGAAGTAATAATTTGCGCCATTCCACACACAGAATAGGAAGCAGAATAGAATCCAAGCTTGGTGGACAAGTCGGTGTTTGTAAATATAAAACTGCGGTAAAGTGGTTACCAAAAACATGAAAAGTTGTGTGACGACCATCACAAATAGCGTTGAAAACCGTTCTGGGAAGAACTGTCTGAAAAACATAATTGCTTTGTGCGGCTTCTCTTCGACCAACCATCGCACACTAGTCATATACCCCTCCTCATAGATCTCCTCCCTCTTAAAAACTTCGGTGATGATCAAATACAAAATTTGCCACGCTATATAAAAGAGCCACGGAAATACAAATCCGGTCCACACAGTGAGTTCTTGTGGGACTTCCAAAGTGCCGTACCACCTCAAGCAATAGACCACCATCCCTGGTAACAAATGAATTGTGATTGAAGTCAGCTTTGTGAAGTCGTGGAAGACCAAAGAATTGTTCCACATTGGGATAGCAGTCAGTAATGGTCCTGTTATACACACAAAAAGTGTAGTGAATATCCAGCTTATATCTTGTTTCAACACAAATCCCCGGAACAATGAGATGATCAGCGTGATGTTGGTAAAGTAACAGAAGTCAAGGAGGAAGTAATGCCACCTGTTCATTCGATAAACCAAATACCTTGAAGTAACTAGAGGAATAAAGAGACAAACGTAGAAGACATGCATCAAGTCGGGGCGGAGTAAGACGATGTACTCTCCCATCAACAACAGACAGACACCAATCACAAAAGAAATCTTGTCTAAAAGTTTGATGTTACCAAGTTTAAACGAGTGGAAGTATTCTAACTGTTCTTCGGTAATAGCAGAAGTCACTGGGATGTCTTCTTCTGGTGTTTGTTGCGAAGAGGTCGACATCGACTTGTTTTTTTCAAGATGAGATGTCTTAAACATAATCTCGTTCCGTCAAAAGATTGGATCAAAAAACAAAGCGAATAAAGTTGAATGGTTAATAAATCTTTCTAAATGATAACCAAAAGATTGATTTTGCTTTTATTTATAATTTTTTAATTTAAAAAATAGTTGTCTAGTAATATTTATCAAATTATTATAGTTTTTCTTTTATTTATATTAATAACTAATGACGTGGTGATAAATCGAAAATTTTGGTTTGGGATTTTTTTTGCGCATTAATAGTGTTGTTATACCATTTTTTTTTGTTTTTGTAAAATTTCCGAAAATTCATCACCCTCATTTCGTTTTTTCGATAAAAACGCAAAACAACTAAATAATAATAATAATTACATATTACATATATAATATAAAAACAAATCTGTTTTCTTTATTTTTTTTAATATAATCTCGAAAATCAATCGAAAAATACGATTTGATAACAACTTTCTTTGTTTTTTAATTTTCTGATTAAACCAATAATTGTAATATATTTTATTAATTGAATTATATAACAAAAAAATATAAAAAAGAATATTAAAAAGAATAATTTTACAATTCTAACAATAATAAAAGAATTTCTCGAAATAAAAACAGTTAAGTTCATTCCGTTTCCACCAATGAACTTCTCATTTTATATAATCCTTCTTCTCTTTTTCGCTCTTGACAATCTTGGGTTCTCTGATTTGAAATCTCAATGGTTTACAGTGGAATGGATTTGCAGTTGTAGAGCTGAGAACAATTCCATTCCATAAAGCAGTTGTATAAATCATATAATAATTTTTAAAATCAAAACATTGATTTTGGATTTCTTGAGTGCTTTGACTTTTTCCAAACACTCGTGTGATGACTTTTTCCATCGGCACATTCTTTTCAATCCCATCGTTTTGTTTCTCGAATCCAGCCCTCCAAAACTCCTTATCCTTCTCATAATATTTTCTCAGCAGTGGGTGTTGAGCCGCTTCAAACGGGGACATTCTCTTATCCGCTTCGAAGACGAAGATTTTGCTCAGAAAGTCGAAGATTAATTTCCTTTCTTCACTTTCCTTCTCACTTTGTTGTTTTTGGATTTCTTCACTTTCTTTCTCCCAATCACTTTTCTCGTCTTTATTCATTAATTCAACTCCCTCACAAAATTCCTTTAAGTTCTTATACTTATGGTATCTTTTACTTTCAGCGTATCTACTATTTGACACGTACGCATATTCCCGTGGCGTCATTAACATATACCGGAATTCCTCTCTTCTTTTCATCACTCTAAAAAAGTTTGACGTTTTCACTCCTTTCTTTAACAGTTCTTCGCTTGGTGTTCCGATCATTTCGATGATTTTGTAGATCTGATTGAATTCGTTCTCTCCCGGGAAGATTGGGATCCCAAGTAAGAGTTCCGCCACAATACACCCGAAGCTCCACATATCAATAGCTGTCGAGCATTCGAGTCCCAAAATGACTTCCGGTGCTCTATAATGTCTTGATTGTATATATGGTGCAATAGTATTCCCTTCAAAGCATGCACTTCCCACATCAATTACTTTAACTATAGGATGTGCCATATCTTCACCTTCTAATAAGATGTTTTCGGGCTTCAAGTCACAGTGGATGATCTGTTCCTTTTGAAATGTGAAAAGTGCCTTCAAAATCTGATACGCAACTTTTGTAGTAAAATTAAGTCCAACACTTTTACTCCGATAATGCCGTTCAACTTCATATAAACTCTTCCCAAGTAACTCAAATACAATGCATACGTGGCGGTTATATAAGAAATGATCAACTATCTTCACGACGTGGTTCGGCGTCGTTCCGCCACCGCGACTAGCACATGTTAGCATCGCTATCTCTAACATCCCTTGTCGGAAGAGTGATGGTCTATTCTTCAGTATTTTGAGAGCAACAGTAGCGCCGGTGGACAAGTCTACACATTTAAAGACTTGTCCAAAAACGCCTTTACCTAATAATGAAATAACCCGGTACTGGGTGTCGGGGAGAAAGGCACATGAGTTACCTTCCTTCGAAAAAGAAGAACCTATTAACATGTCTTTGTAGACTATATAGTGCGACTCGTCGTTGTCCTCTCCACTATTGTCATTAGGCGTGTCGGGTAAAGTAAGCGGGACTTTTGAGAGGATCTCGAAATTTGGGGTTTCTTGTTTTAAGACGGGTGTGTGTTGAATTGTTGACATAAAGGAATGTATCTCGTCTGTGTTGATTGGACTGAGTTCGTTCTATAGTTCTTAGAATTTTATATCTTCTATACCATGTATTAGGGTAAAAACGCGCCACTTCACGGGGTTTTACCGAAGTTCTTCACCCCTCACAAGTGTAAAAAAAACTTTCCATATTTAACTAGTAAAATATAGTTCAACTATAATTATAGTATAGTTTTTAAGTCAAAAAAGATAAAAATATGAAAAAAAATGAGATTACCTATTGTTTGTTATTTAAAATGGTTTTTGTGGAATTCAGCGGGAAACTAAAAGAAACAAAATAATTTCAGCATTTTTTTTAATTACAACATTATCAGAACTAAAATATAAATGATTTATTACCATAAAGTAATAAATGCCGCTTCTTTAAAAAAATTACCAAATTTAGAAAAAAAGCTTTTTTGGTTGGTCAACCCAAAAATGATGAAAAACTTTGAGTTTTGTTTTTGAAAAACAAAACAATTTCACTTTGAATTGGTAAGATGTATTAAACTTATTAATTAAATTTACCATATTTAAGGTTTTGAACCAATTTTGATTAAACTCACATATAATATATAATAGTTACAATTAAACAAATTAATTAAATAAACAATGTATCATAGTTTATAATTAAATGTATTATATAAAATGATACAACAAAATCAAACAATCAAATACAAACTAATAGGGTACTGAAGGCTTTGCCGAGGTGTATTGTACATAGGCTCCGCACAAAGAAGCATAATAACTCACATTGAATGGGTTTTCATTTTTGTCGAAGTTTGGTAAAGCAGTTTTATCAACATTAAAAGTCTTGTGGTGAGGATACCCGACACCCTGTGCCAGGGTTTGTGGGTTAAATCTTTGTGTCTGAGCATGTAAAGACGTGAAGGAAGCGCCTGCAACCCCCTTTTGAAAAGAGGCGTAACGCCATTGAATGGGGGTTTCGTGAGTTTTCAGAGTGACATGCAAAAAAGCATGTTTGCGGGTTTCGAACCACCCCTCTTCACTTATTGGTTGACGGAGTTGCAGTGTGGCCACGTCGACCAATTCGTCAAGCCCAAATTTTTCCCATATCATTAC